CAGCGCGCAGGGCGCATCCTCCAACCCTTGTGAGCCCGGCGACCCTCGGTGGGTCCAGATCGCACCCGCCAGCCTTGGCAGTCGCCTGCCCTGGTCTCACACCGCCACAGACTCGGCGGAGCTGTCAGCTTGGTCCCTCCTGGCGGCCTCCGCTTGCCGGTCCATCCCAGAGCTCGCGCTGTTGCTCCCGAGCGAGGGTCCCGTTTTGGGTTACATTCAGAGAAGGCTCGCTATTACCCAAGGAAAGAAATGATACGTCTTTCCCAAGTTTTAAAATAGTTTGCTTCGATGCTGTTGTTGATGACAACCGCGTGGCCACGCCAGGCGGCATCTAAGCCTTCCCTCTTTCTTTACCCCCGTTTCTCTTCCCAAAGTAGGACACACCCTTGTGTGGTGTTCCATGGTGGTGGTGGTGGGGGGGTGTTATATGGGAACGGACCATACATACATCAAGGACTGGTTGATTTGGAAGACATTTCTAATAAATGGTCGGGAGCATTGTTTAAGGCAGTTGCATGAAGCAAGGTGGATTCGTGTTACACTGATCTTATTCACATTCCGAGGGCGTGACAGACATTTCATTCTTTCCCAAGTCTCGTGTCCAGGGTTGCTGGGGGTAAAAAGTATTTGGGAACTCTGCCACGTTTTTCAGTGAGATATAAAATGTACGTTTGTTTACTACTGTGTTTCCTTTGGGCACTTTCACTTTTGTTTCTCTTGAGTTCCCTTTCTGGTTTCTTGTCTTGATTTCATAATTCGGAGCAGAAATGGACTTGAGACTTGACCAGGGATCCTCATTTTACCGGGGAGGAAACCAAGGCCCTGAGTAGTGATGGGAGTTACTCAAGGTCACTTTGGATTAGAGTGGCGTTCAGATGGGGCCCCACTCACCTGGTATCTCTGTTAGAGGGGTGGAGATGGAGGGGGGGTGGGCACAGAGGGTGGGGAGTGGGCATGGAAGGGCAGAAATTGCTTAGTAATGTATGGCAGCAATTCCACTTTGTAAAATTAATATCCTAGAAATTAAAGGCGGAGAACACGTCTGAGATAATTCCCTTCTTAGGATCAATATGAATCGATTGCTTCTTCAAGACCCCCTTTCTTAAGACTTGACTCAAATATATCTCGTAATTCAGATTCCACTTCACCTTTCCTGGGAAAGTTTGTCATGTCATTGAACAGCCCTACATGATTGCCATGAATTGTTTCATTTTGTTATTGTGTTAAAAAAATATATATTTTTATTGATTTCAGAGAGGAAGAGAGAGGAAGAGAGAGATAGAAACATCAATGATGAGAGAGAATCATTGATCAGCTGCCTCCTGCACCATTGGGGATTGAGCCTGCAACCCAGGCATATGTCCTTACTGGGAATGGAACCATGACCCCCTGGTTCACAGGTCAACGCTCAACCACTGAGCCACTGCAGCCCTGCTGAATTTTTTTTCTTTTTTTGAATCACAATGGACCTCTCCCCGTTTGTGCATCCACTGTGTCCTTTGAATATTATTTCCTGGTGACTTCAACACTTCAGTGTGCAGAATAGTTGCTGTATCTCTCTGGACTAGAGGGTAAGCTTTGAGGGCCAGGGCCATGCCATGTTCATTTTATATCTCCCATGTCTAGCACCCTGCCTGGCAATGAATGAGCAAACAAAGGCCTGATGAGGGTTTTTTTTTTTTTTCCGTAATTCCATCCTGACCATCTGTAGGAAATTCCTTCCATGTTTCTGGTGAAGGCAGAACACTAGAGAAGCTTTCTGGTTCTTGCACCTTTGCAGACTATTTTTGGCAGGCTTCTAATTAACAGGGCCAAGCAAAACATAATTTGCTTTATTAATTTTTTTAAACTAAGTGCTTTCTCTCCTCCCTTTTTATTTATTTATTTTTTTACCATGTTTGGTTCCTCTTCTTCAAATTCCTTTTAATTCATATAATTAGTTATGCCAACACTTGCCCTTTGATTTTTGCTTTCTTAGACTCCAAAAGGTTGGTGAAGTTTAGCTGTGATTTAACCCTGCTCATCCTGGAATCAAATGATCAGAGGCAGCATTCTTTCTTTTTTAAAAAATTTTTGATTGATTTTAGAGAGAGGAAGGGGAGACAGAAAGGAGAGAGAGAGAGAGAGAGAGAGAGAGAGAGAGAAAGAGAAAGAAACATCGATTGATTTGTTCTTCCACTTTTTTATGCATTCATTGGTTGATTTTTATATGTGCCTTGACCAGGGATCAAACCAAAACCTTGGCATATCAGGACGATGCTCTAAACTGCTGAGCTATCCAGCCAGGGCAAGAGGCAGCATTCTTTTTTTTTTTTAAATTCTCACTTGAGGATTTTTCCATTTATTTTTAGAGAGAGTGGAAGGAAAGATGGAAGGAGGGGGGCAGAGAGAGAGGGATAGAGAAACATCGATATGAGAGAGACACATCTATTGGTTGCCTCCTGCATGTGCCCTGACCTGGGAATCAATCCTGTGACCAAGTGCTGACGCGCTAACCACTGAGAAATACTGGCTAGGGTGAGGCAGCATTCTTACTGATTCCTTCTGAAACCCTGTGAACTAAGTGAGGAGGCTGGCAGTTAGTTGACAGGCAAGCTGAAGAGGGCTACTGAAAAGATGTCAACATCTGGACCAAAACTGCTCATTTGCAACTTTAAAAGACTGGAGAAAAACTGATGTTTGCAGTTATACTTACAGCTCGGTGAAGGGTCTGGATTGTCACACATTAGTTCATACACATCCAGACCAATGAGATTCCATTGCATATCTGAACACGAACTGCACGTATTCCTTTGGGTAGGACAGATGAAGTTGGTATCACTGATCATAACATCATTACTGATCCTATATTCATCCCAAGTAATAACAATCTGATAATTTTAAGTGTAACAGTATCTCCTTAAAGTAAGGTGGAGATGAAACCTAATTATATGTAAAGTCCTATGCTCCCTTAAATACAATGCTGAACAGAGATAAAAGGAACATTGCTCAAAAATATAGGAAATACCTCCAGGGCTCTCGTCTTCCGGATATGCACGCTCGCACATTACAAAAAAGATCAAACTTTGGTTCTCTGGGGCAGTGGTCGCCAACCAGTGGTCCGTGAAGTCTGAAAGGTTGGTGACCGCTGCTCCTGGGGGCGGGGGTATCACCTAGCTGCTGTTTAAAGAGAGTTGTTAAGGGCACTCCAACAATCTTCTAGCTCTCCAATACACACTTGAAAAATGACAATTCGTGGTGTATACTAGTAAGAGCATGGACTTTGGAATCAGGTGCTAATCTCAGCTGTGTCAATCCATTAGCTGTGTCATCCCAGGCAAGCTATTCATCAGGTTTGTTTTTTTAAAATATATTTTTTATTGATTTCAGAGAGGAAGGGAGAGGGGGAGAGAGAGAGAGAAACATCAATGATTGATCGGCTGCCTCCTGCATGCCCCCTACTGGGGATCGAGCCTGCAACCCAGGCATATGCCCTTGACCGGAATCGAACCTGGGAACCTTCAGTCCGAAGGCCAACGCTCTATCCACTGAGCCACACCAGCTAGGGCTATTTATCAGTTTTGATTCTCAGTTTCTTTACTCATAAAATGATTCTCAGTTTCTTTACTCATAAAATGAGCATAACACCTCGCTCAGAGGGAAGTTTTTAGGATTGAAGTTTAATAAAATATTTATAAAGACCTAGCATGATACTTATGGCATAATCTTTAATAGCTGTAATAATTTTTTAATTGTGCTTTTATTTGCCCCATGCACTTCCTATAATTAGTCTATCCCTTTTGGCTTTCTGCTCTTGAACATTCAACAAACATACTATTAGTGAAAGTTCTGTGCCTATGAAAATAAATAAGAATAGGTTCTGCCCTATCTGGTTTGGCTCAGTGG